TAGTAACAATTAATAATAATTAGGGGATAATTGAATGAAAATGACAAAAAAAAAAAAAAGAACAATTATAACTTACTGAAATGTTAATCCAAATAGTGTTTTAACAAACTAGTTTATGGTTGTTGATCATCTCTCTCAGTGATGATGATCTCTTTTATCTATCGAAGTTTATTATTTTTGTATTCATTCAGCGATTTTCACTGAGTATGTTCAGTGATCATTGAACATGTATTGTAATTCATTCATAGACCAATATACTTCAAGAAGACAAAACTCATACTACAGATCCTTCAGCGACATCTAAGAAAAAAACTGAAGATTAGAGACTAGCAAGTTCGTGACCCGAAGTGGTTTTCAGTGATAACAAGCTCGTCTACACAAGTGTGAAATCTGCACAAGATTCAGCGAACACTGATAAGACCTTCAACGTCATTCAGTATTCAGCGATCAAATGAATCTTGTTGAGCAAGATAGTTTTTGTCTTGTCCTTCTGCACACAAAGAACAAAAGATAATTTTTGTCTTGTTCTTCTGCACACAAATGACAAACTTATACATTTCTAAGTAAAGTACAGTACGGAGTCACTCCTTTGACCCCAAACGTGCTTACCTATTTTATGAAAGAATATTGTTCATATACTGTCAAAAAGACTGTATACTGTAACAAATGACAAGTTTTCCTCTAAAAGTTTGTCACGTGCTATGTACCTTCTAATTTGCATTTAATGCAACAGGTATAAATAGTTGAGTAGTTCTCTTCTCATTTATCATCTTCYTCATTCTAAACTTACCCAAGAAGTTACTTCTCTCTCTATTATCTGTCTAAGAGAAATACTCACTTTAACAAGTGAAGAGCACATTATTCTTATCTTATTTATTGTATCAAGTCTTTTTTCTTATTTGATATCCTGTAATTTTGTGTGTAATTTAGATTGTTTAGATATGTTATATATCATGTCTCTTTCGCAAAGAATCTGTAAAATTAGTATTGATCTTCTTTATTAATATATAATTTTTAAAAGTGAAAGTTGATGTGTTTGTATTCATCCCCCTTCTAAAAACTGTTACCTATAAACTCTTGTAGATCCGACTAGGACCAACAATGGTCATCAAAAATAAAAAAATTTGTAATAAGCTCAAAAAATAAGTTAGTTTATGGTTACTAAATAAGACCATAAAATCAAAAGAAAAGCCCATAAAATGTTACGAACTTTCCAATTTTGATTGATGAAATCCTTGAAAAAAGGTTAAAAAATAAACTATTGAACTTTCTCATTTTAATAATCAAGTCTCTTAATATTTTTTTTCAATAAATAAATCATCAAACTTATTAAAAAACTGGTTATCTGCATCATTTTAACCCAAAAAAGCAACTTGTAACCGAATCTCCAAAGAAAGATAAAAAAAATAAAGGCTAGGAAGATTTTATAAAAAAAAAAACTAAATAACATCGCTCTCCCTCACCGCTCCATCGTTGTCTGTTCTTTATACCGCTCACATATGGAGAAGTGTCATAATCAAGCATATTTTGGCTTCACAGGAAGCATAAAAAATAATAATTTTCATATAATAAAATATATTTTTTAAATCAAATTTACTTAATTTTATATTGGGTCTTATTATATGCAAACTTATAAATATTAAAATCATGTTAAATCATATATTAAAACTATAAAAAGATACTTGTCTAAAGAGGATATCAATATATACATATGTATTTAGTAAATCATATGGGTGCATTTAACTTAAACCTAACCTTCAAAGAGTTCGATACTTTTATCGTAGAACACAAGACCCGAAATACACTCACGCACATCTTGTCGTGTGTGATTCCAGTTTCATAAATATGAGTTTTACTTGGTTAAAATGTTATGCAGTGATGAAATTAGATATCATGGACTTGATAAGTTAAATAAGAGAGGGTTATCAGTTATATTAACCCTTTTGTTGATTTCGTGTCTGATTGGTTTGAGCTTGGCTCCAATAGTCAAAAGTACCCGGAAGTCTCAAGTTCAAATCCAAGGAGAAATAAAAATCCCCCTTGTGGCCACGGAGGTTCAAATGCGATGACTCCGGGCTATCTGCAAAGCAGGTGGTCGCTCTGGGATTAGTCGGCTCGCATAGCAGGTTGAATATTCAGGTTAATAAAAAAAAAACAAAGGTAAAACAAAAAAGTCTAAACTACAATAAACGATTTGGTGTCGTATTTCCAAGATTATTTAATTTATGAATTTGTTATTGTTGTTGAGTTATAAAAAAGTTTGAAAACTTCCCAACGACCCATCCAACCCTCTTGTAAATAGTCGTAAAAATTAACAGCAAAGCAAGCTTACAGAAACTTAATAAGTGTACTTTTGACAAAACCCACCAAACATGACATAAAAGATATCATCACGCGACTTCTAAAAGTTTGATACAATCATTAAAGTAACTAAACGATTTCCATTAAAATTCCGAAAGGTTGCATCTATTGCATTTCGAGTCGTTGAATCATAGCATGCCCAATAATCATGTCTAGTCACATTATACTCTAGATCTAATCAACTTCAGATCAATAATGAAAATTAAATATAAAAATATTTGATCCAAACACCTCAAAAGTAGCATTTACAACAATTGA